ATATGACAAAATGCTCAACTTCACTAGCTATTAAGGAAATGCAAATCAAAACCACAATGAGATATCACCTCACACCTGTTAGAATGGCTGTCGTTAATAAGACAAGTAATAAGTGTTGGAGAGACTGTGGAGAAAAAGGGGCCCTCATACACTGTTGGTGGAAAAGTAGATGGTGCAGTCACTATGGAAGGCAGTGTGGAGGTTCCTCATAAAATTAGGAATAGAATTACCATATGACCCAGCAATCCCTCTCCTGGGTAGCTATCCAAAAAAATCTGAAAACATTTGTCCATAAAGATATATACACTCCAATGTTCATTGTGGCATTATTTATGGTGGCCAAGATAGGGAAACCAAAAACTCCTTCGATAGACCACTGGATAAAAAAGATGTGGTACATATACAATGGAATACACTCTGCCATAAGAAAAGATAAGATACTGTCGTTTGTGTCAACATGGATGGATCTTGAGATTATCATGCTAAATGAAATGTCAGAAAGAAACAGTTGAGAACCATATGACTTCACTCATATGTGGGACATAAAACTGAAAGCAACAAAGGAAGAAGACAAACAACTAAACAAAATCTCAGGCGCAGATAACAGATGATGGGTATCAGAGTGTTAAGGGGTGGGAGGATGGTACTAGAGGGTAAACGGGGTCAAGTACATGGTGATGGAAGGAAAACTGACTCTGGGTGGTGAGCACACAGTGTGATATATAGATCATGTATTATAGAATTGAAACCTATGTAATTTTACTAACCATTGTCACCCTAATAAATTAAATTTAATAGATAGATAGATAGATAGATAGATAGATAGATAGATAGATAAAATTTCACCGTAAGCCCTTGGTCATTATTGTTAAATGTTGGAGAAGCTCTAAGTACACTCATGTTGAATAGGCTAAAATTTGGTCTTCAGGTTGTAGCAGTCAGAGCTCCAGCTTTTGGAGAAAATATAAAAAATCAGCTTAAAGACATGGCTATTGCTATTGGTGGTGCAGTGTTTGGAGAAGAAGGATTCACTCTAAATCTTGAAGATATTCAGCCTCACGACAGGAAAAGTTGGAAGGGGTTATTGTGACCAAAGATGATGCCATGCTCTTGAGAAGAAAAGGTGACAAGGCACAGATTGGAAATGTATTCAAGAAATCATTGAGTAGTTAGATATCACAACTAGTGAATATCAAAAGGAAAAACTAAATGAATGTCTGGCAAAACTCTCAGGTGGAGCAGCTGTGCTGAAGGTTGGTAGAACATGTGATGTTGAAGTGAATGAAAAGAAAGAAAGATAGAGTAACAGATGTCCTCAATGTCACATGAGCTGCTGTTGCAGAAGGCATTGTTCTGGGAGGGGGGGGGGTGTACCCTGCTTTGGTGCATTCCATCCTTGAGCTCATTAACTCCAGCTAACGAAGATCCAAAAAATTGGTATAGAAATTATGTAAAAAACACTCAAAATTCCTGCAATAACCATTGCTAAGAATGCAGGTGTTGAGGGATCGTTGATAGTTGAGAAAATTATGCAACGTTCCTCAGGAGTTGATTATGATGCTATGCTTGGAGATTTTTGTGAATATGGTAGAAAAAGGAATCATTGATCCAACAAAGGTTGTGAGAACTGCTTTATTGGAAGCTGCTGGAGTGGCCTCTCTCATATCTACAGCAGAAGTTGCAGTCACAGAAATTCCTAACGAAGAGAAAGACCCTGGAATGGGCTAATGGGTGGAATTGGAGAAGGTATAGGAGGTGGCATGTTCTAATTTCTAGAATACTACTTTATCATTATTAATGAGAACTATGAGAGGAATCTCAAGGCAGTGCTCTTCACCTATAACTTCAAAGAAGTCAGTTGAAGGAAATGACTGGAGAGAAGGCTGGCTGATGTTTAAGAAAATCACTATAGGGCCGGCCAAGTGGCTCAGTTGGTTAAGAGTGCGCTCAAGAGTGTGAGCTCTGAGCAACAGCGGTTCGATGCCCCGCCCGAGCTGAGCTGCTGCTGAGCTGCCAACAGGTGGCAGGATGGCTCAGCTAAAAAAAAAAAGAAAATTACCATAGCCATCATTTACTATTGGGTCGTCGGGAAAATCATGACGTATTTTTCTGTTTTCCAATGCAAAAATGTGTCATGACTTTCCCAACGACCCAATAGTTTCAGTTCACAACATATAATGGTCTACTGCTGTCACTGTCCATGCCTACAGATAATTCATTTTGTATTTTTTAACAAAAAGACATTTCTACATTCCTGATGATTAAGTGCAAGAGCCATGTACCAATTAACTGCTTTCACCTTAAATCACTGAGGCATTTTTACTATTATTCTGTTAAAGTCAGGATTTTAGTGCTTGCTATCACCTAATGAGAAGAAGCAGCCTTTCTGTGGAGAGTAAGAATAATTGTGTACAAAGTAGAAAAATATCCAATTATGTGATAACCTTTGTGTAATAAAAATTTGTTTAAAGTTAAAAAAAAAAGTTAAATAGTCGATTTCTCATTAATTCTCATAGTGGACTTTTTCCACTATGGCTACAGGGACAGATCCAGGTTTTATGTTCACTGAAACTTTCACAGTTTTTCTTTGGTTCTGGGGCGGGGAGGGGGAGGATGGGAGGGAGGGTTACTCTTTAAAAAAAGTTTCATTAAACTGCAAATAAAAAAATCACGTAATGGCCTTAAGTGGGAACCTGAAGCTTAAGTTTTATTAGCTTCATTAACAGCTTCTGTATAGCAACAAGCTTCTGAAAGAATTGCCGGGGGGGGGGGGGAGTTTTATTTGGTCTGGTTTGTAATGGGTGAGATAAAACAATGACAACAATGACAAGAACAACAACAGAGCCCAGTGAATGGATAATGGTGTCTCCAAAGGATGCGTCTTACCATACAAGTATCCAGATCTTCCAAACGCTCTATCTCTGTGAGCTCCTCCACTGTGATGATGGAGCGTTTAATGGGCTTCTCCTCAGCCAGCTCAATCTCTAAGGACTCTTGTTGAGGAAGGGTCTTGCCACGTCTGCTGAAGTGGTCCGTCTACAGTCAAGACACACACAAGAAGAAATTAACTCACAGAGACAATGGAAGAGCAGGTTGTCCTGATTCCCAAAGATGGAACACCAAAGGACTATGTCTGCATGTGTGTCAACAACAATTGTTATCAAGTTCACATTAGAGTAACTTACCTTTTTTATTATCTTTCTTTGGAGGGTGGAATATTTTAAGCAAGAAATGACAAAAACTCTTTTTTAAAAAAATGTCCTTTGAGGCTTTATTTTTTGAAAAAAACCAGTATTTCATACAGTCTTTGCCATGTTGATGCAAATATGCACGAAGTAAGTGTGTATTTTTGTTTTCCAAAAGATGCATTATAAACCTTTTCAGGAAGCTGGTGTGATTTATTCAACTTTTTATCTTAAATACAATCACAAATTATGTCCATCAGGAAGCACTACAACTTTTTGTACTGAGAAGTCATTTTATTTATGCAATTTTGCTAGGACAAGGAAGATTCAGTTCGACTCAATTTGCTCTTCTAAGGGTAAAGAAAATTAACGAGTGAGTGAAGTATGAGGTCATTGCCAATGACTTTATAGGTGGAAATATAAAGGAAATTTAAACCAGAAAAATAACTGACACAAGGTAAATGAGATTACTTAGTCTAGATTAAACGTTATTTTTATTAATTATACTTCATATTGCCTCTGAAAGAATTTCTTTTTCTATCTAGTGCTTAAAAATATCTAATGAGGAGAAATAAAATAGTTCCAAGCTTCATTATTTTTAAAGGGCCGAAAGGCAGGGAAGTGCTAACAAATTTTAATTATTACTTGCTTACGCTATTTTCATGTAATGAATACCATATTTGATATGATTTATTAATTTCCTGTGTTATGCCTCAGGTAAACCTAAAAACTCAAATGGTAAGAGGTAGAATAAACTGGGCTAGAACGAATAAGCTCTAATGCTGACCTGACTACTCACCAGGAACTTGGATTTAATTCTTCCAAAACGATGAGAACTAGTGGAAAATTCCATGGAACCTTTGGGAACACTTCTAAACTTAAGTTGGAGAAAATATTAATGTTTTCAGAATGCCTTTGAAAACAAAGTTTCAATTTAAAGATACTATTTCTTTCCCATAGCTCTCTTCTTACAATCAAAATCATTAATATCAAAATGAAATTCAAAACAAAAGTGCATTAACAACTTACTGAAAAATGAATTTAAAATAATTTAAAAAAAGGTTTAAAAAAAAGGCAAAAAAAAAGTGAATAATTCAAACTTCCAGTGTAGTTCTCATATGCAATCATGTGGCTATAACATCCAGTATTTATGACACCAAGTGGGCGTTTAGAGGCAGTCCCCAGGGCTGTGGGTTACTGATAAATTTTTCTATAAAAGATGCTCTATTGATTTTATTTCTGCTTATGTAAAACAACAATGTCTGAATCAGGAGCTCTAAATAATAATGTAGATCTTTACTGTGCCATCAGAAACTTGTGCTTCTTAAATTCTCTGTGGTGATGAACTAGTTTTTTATATTTCCAATTTGCCACAAACCAATAGATTGGTAAAATACAATAAAAATAAAAAAAATAGAAAAACAACGTGTTGTTCGAATATTGTGGCTATGTCAAATTAATCTAGAAGTTTCTCCACTTTTCCTCCTGAGTGCTGAGCTTACACTGTCACGGACTAGTAACCATCCACTAATGGGCCAGCTCCAGTTCATAGGCAATACTGAGTATTGCCACTGGAGAGGTCTATCTTATACAAGTACTTTAGATTTTAGAAGAGAGTCTTCTTTTTCTGAAATAAATTTTTCAGTACTCATGTTGTCTGTTTCATGGGGAAGAAGCTGCTACTGTTCCTCTCATTTTGGTGTTCTCCAGTGTCATCCAACAATTCAATGCCATAAAACTGGGTATCTCCAGCCTCCAGAGTTACCTGAAATTTTTTTTTCCTCTGGAGAAAACGTTATTACCTGCTTGGGAGATGTCTACTGGATCAGATTGCTAACAAGATACAACCAATAATACAACTTTCATTTGTGCCTCAGAGAATTTCCTAAAGTTTAAGAAACATAAAGTTGTTGATACATTTTTCATATGTACTGATATTGGAAGTCAAGTCTCCTATCCTGCTGTAGAGCCCGTCTCTAGATTAAGAAAATTTATTTTTTCACCTTGGTTATATCCAAGAGGCCTGGTCGGGCACACAGCAGCTGTCACTAGAATATGTCCATTTTACTCTTGCCTTTTCTTTGGACTCCAAATATTTCATTCGTCCTTCCCAACCCCCTGTTTTCAAGGATAGTCCATTCTGAAATAATCCTATCAGGAACCAACAAACTGAACACAGATAAATTAAATAATCTACAACAAACCTTAATTTTACATCTCAGTCTCAACATTTATCTCCTACCAAAACTTGTGACCTGCACTGTAAATGGACAAGTTTTCTGGACACCATCGCTTCTGCTTTCCCCTGACATTCCCTCTGGAGAAATTCTAAGAAGCTCCAGATTGACTAGAAGCAATACAGACGGAGGAGGAAAACCGGGATCTTAACTCATAAAGCTACAAAGGAGTAAAATTTAGAAAAGAACCCACACCCCTATGCTGGAGGCTGCCCTGCATCACAACAGACCGAAACAGGAGGTCCTGCTCAACATGGTCACAGCACTCACCAGTTTATGATGGCAGTGTGACAGTGCATCCAGAATTTCGTCCACGATTCGATCAGACAGGAAGGAGGCCACTGTCAACTTCACTTCACTATGTAAAAATCAAAAGGACAGAGTAGCATTTTAATTTGTGCAAGGGAAACGTATCCCCCACTCGTGATTCTATGTTGGTAAGGTCAACTGTGATTCTGTTTGTCTTTCTATAAGGATGTGTGAACAGGGCTGAGGACTTCCAAGAATAAGCCTTAAACACTGCCATAAACACACAGGTAACAGATTCTCCTTACCAATTTCAATCTGCCTTTGCCATCTCAAAACTCAAGATTTAGTGGTAAAAAAGAAAAACATCTGGATAAAGACCAACTTAATGGGAACCATGTGTATCATGTGGTCAGGAACAATTCATTCATTGACATAAATGAAACAAACAAACAAACAAACAAAAACTCAAACCCGGACTGAAGTAAATTAAGAAAGTTTAGTCTGATTGTTAAGCCTTGGCTATTACTTTAATACGCATATCCCCACCTTTTGTGTTGTTTTTTTTTTTTTTAAAGAATCAGTTGGTGCCATATGGAAATGCTTCTGCTCTGACTTGCCATCTTGGAACACATTCACTGTTCTCCTGCCTTTTATGGACAAATGTTACCAAAATGTTCATTCAGTTTTAGTGCCTCTTGCCTGACCTTAAAAACGTGCCCAGGCAACAGAAAGTGGCTGACGGTTTTCACTAATAAACAACTAAGCCACTAGATTATCAGCCAGAGAGCTGGTATTTTAATGAGCATTGTAGTTATTCGGTATCCCCAAGCATTCAAATTCCATGGGTGTCTTCAGTCTGAATATAACCTTATGTAAATGTACACATGTACATAAATGCACCACACATTTAAAGGTCCGTGTACTAGAAAGATTTATATGCACATTCCAACATTGTCTCACAAGTCCAAGTCTACTTCTCACAAGTCCAAGTCTACTTTTGAAGTCAACAATCTTAAACTTTTTAGAGCAGGGAAAGGAGTTATCAAAAAAATATATTTAATCCTAAAGTTAAAAGTACATTTGTGTAACAGGGGAAAACCTTTCTAACCTGAAGGCAATAATTCACACTGAGATTTCTCTGCCCAGGAAGATTTCTGGTAGCAAGGCAGAAAAATGAAAGCACAAATTCTTTGACGCTTACATTAAAAATTTTCCTGGGTTAAAGATAAAAGGAAGTGTCTTTAATTCCTGTTTTTGATTCTGGTAACTCTTTGGTTTATCTAGTACTTTATTATTCCACAGAGGTGTCCACTGATAAGATTCACCTGGGTCTCTTATTAAAAATACAGGTTACTGGGTCCAACCCAAAACTCCAGAGAGGCCTGGGAATCCAATTTTAACATGTACTTCCTCTGATTATTCTTAGGCATGTTTGGGAATTTTACTTCCTCATAAAACTGTAGAGTCAATAGTTTATTTCTCTCTTTTTCTCCCTCTCTCTGTCTCTCTCTGATGTGGGGAGGGTGGTTTATCTATTTCAAATTGTAGCACCAAAAAGATTTTTAAAAATGAATTTTTAAAAATATCTCAGGATTGTGCTTATCATTTTTCTTCTGGATGCTATATTTCCTTACTAATTGAACTTCCAGTCTGCAAAATTTTTAGAGGAAATGATTCAACCTAACTTGCATGTGTGCATATGCATATTTGCATTCTCTCAGTGCTTAGTATCATGCATGATAAAAAGCCAAGGGAAGAGTTTATAGACATATAATTGATTTATTAATGTGAGGAGTTCTGTTCTGCTGTTCATCTTTCAGAATTGGCCCATTTTCAAGGGAAGTGACTGTATTTGACAGAATTTGGTATTCCAGTGAAGGCATCAGATTATATATGATCTGTTGGTGGTTCAATCCATTATTATGAAAGAATAGTGATCAATACATTTTTTTCCTTAATATTTAAGAAGCTTCAACAAAAATTCTGAAACTACAGGTTATAGAAGTATGTAAGCACAAGAGCTACAGTTCAGAAACTCACTAATCTATGGGGTCCTATACACACTGGGAAAGTCTTTCTTAAAATTTCTCAAGTCCTTTCTAATGTCCTACAACTCAGTTGAGTGGGTGCTAGGATCTTTTATTTAACACACACACACACACACACACACACACCCCAAAGCTGCATCCTAGACCTTAGACTGTCCAGTTACTGCTCAATCCTCAAAGTTCTATAATCTAACCTTAAGGTTGTTGGCGTTCAATATCTAGATTGTGATGATATAATTTTTGGCTTATTTTGTTTTTAACTCTCAGTTTTCTTGCAGGCTGTTATTTAGCTCCATCATTGTGTTAGCACAATTCCGAACTCTTCAGATAAGGAGCTGGTATTTGTGCTACATCTAAATATCCTTATCAAGGTTCAGAAATGGTTAAAATGGGAAACTTAAATGTTTCTGAACTTGGTTTCTAGTCATCTGATTCTCCAACTAAGAAACAAAATTAGAATTAGCTGAGCTTTCATGTAATGCTGGTAATCACCAGACTCAATGTAAAAATCCAGAAAAGTTTGTTGCTTATCACACCGTCTAAATAGTTGCATCTTGGCATATTTTTCACACTCTATCAAGCAGCAATCATAGAAACACTCCAGAGCACCATTAATACATACACAGCATCACAGATCCACCAAAAGAACCCAGAAGAAAAATATGGTGAGGTCATAGTGGGCGTCTTTGCCTTTATAGGCTATGCATTTGCTCATAATAGCATGGTAGTAGAAAGCAGACTGATCTTAGTCTTCAAATTAGTAATTTATAAAGGAGAAAGATAAGCTTTACTAGTAGATAAAACGGGATTACAAGCATGTATTCCCCTATTAAAAATAAAACACTTAAAAAGAGCACATAGCTGTATTCTCTTCAGTAACACAGGTGTATCTGTGGTTGTCTTATTTTGGAAATGATTAAACCTACGCATTTATGCACAACTGTATCTATACACAGTCACTGCCCATCAGACACGCTTAACATGTATATGGATAAAGCCAATAACGGCACTCTCCTCTTCACAGCTGCCTCGGCTGCATTCACAGAAAACTGCACAGCCTAATAAACTGCAGATTATTAACATTATAAACCTACCTAATTTTGTTAAGGATATCAATTCCAGACTGCTCCAGCAGGACATTTTTAACAAAGGTACGTGGAATGGAAATCTTTTCAGTGCTGGCATGAATCAAGTCTTGTCGGATGTGGGCTTTTTTCATCACACTGGGACAAAGGTTCTCAGCAGCATCGACCATGGACTCCAGCAGCGCCTGCAATGCAGCACAGTGAGGG